CACCTGAGATATTTAAAAATGATAAAGGAGCTCGAAAAAACGCTTGTTCTACAGTAAACAACTGCCTGCTTATGCAATTTATATATATATATATTTATTTATTTATTTATATATATATATAAAGCTCGGGTAATGATAAATGTCAATAAAAACGGGGAAATGAAGTATAAGGCTGAACACGTGATTATCTTATGATATGTGTTTGTGAATTACTAGGTATGAGAGGAAAGAAAATCCACGAAATTTCACGTTAACCGGATAACACAGCTTCAACATGCTTGCACTTTCAAGATCGTTCTTCAAGAAAGCTGATGCGGGAAATTACACGATATGTGTATTGGATGCACTACCTGCTGACTAAGACTCTTGTGAACGTTAAACAACATAGCAGGATTATACATGCGTTAGTGGGATAGAATATTCGGCGTGTAGCTCATGTAGTATCCTACATCTTCATCCAGTTGCCTGAATGAAGATCGCATGATGCTAAGAGAGAAGGGATGAATCTATAGCGATACTCAATCCTTCTAGTCATGTCACCCTAAGTAAGTAATTATTGTTCTGACAGGTGGAAGATCTCTACCACGAGCCGTATAAGATTGCTAAGTAGCTTGTTGTTGTCAGCTGTAAGTTATGGAAAATATCGTGCCATCCAAATCAGCCGATATATATAGATATATATAATGCAAATGCACTGTAATAATAATGTTATAATACAGGAACATGAAATGGTCTTTATGATTCGATTACTCGTAACCACAATCACAACCACCACGCTGCGCCACCACAATGCTGCATGCAGCCGTAGTATCTGTCTTGTTACGTGGCTAGACTTGATCATCCGGAGCAGTGTGCAAGAGAAGATTGTTCTTAGAAGATGCGTTTGGAAGAGAGTTGGTCGTGATGACAGATATAAGTGATGCAAAGAGAAAGAAAAGTGAAGAAACAGGCTCTCCCTCTCATTTTCTTCCTCTTTGTCGCGCTCTCTCTCTCTCTCTCATTCATCATTTATGTGGAACACCACTAACGCGCGCACACACACGCATATCATCCATATATATATATATATATATATATATATACATTTTAATTTTCAGGAGTATATGAAAATAATCCCACGAAGTCACACGCCTACAAACACACGTAACTGTTTCCAATGATGCCGCGTGCGATTCTTGCGTGCATGGTGCGTTGCTACGGCTCTCTCGCAGGGCGGGATCTCGTCGCCATGGTGTAGACCCAGAGCGACCCGCAGAGCGATTTTTGTGCAATATTAATTTTTCTCTTGCGAAAACGCTCGACGCTGCATGAAAACGATGACGAGTTTGTCTAAGTCGCATCTCAGCGTAGACCGAGTGGGGGAACGCCCGATGCCCGTGTCGTCACTCGAATTATTTTTACCTACTACGTGGTGGAAAAAAACGTGATATGAAAGCAGTGGTGATATATAATAAAGGTGGTGCTATGCGCTAAACTAAACCTGTTTGTATGTTCCTATGCTATTTGCATGAATTTTATATTTGTATTACTATTATTGTATAACTGTAGCAAGCTCTGATTGAGAGGCAAATAATGAAGCATACAAGTACAATACTCATACAATCATAAATCGTAAATCGATGACATGTTTTTATGAAGGGGATTGTCATATGGCGGGGGAGAGGAGATTAAATACATGTGGGTGGGCGATGTATTGATGAGAGATATATGGGTGGCAGATCTGTGGGTGGGGAATATGTGAAGAGGGATCGGTGTGGACGTGGGGCGTGTTTGGGTAGCATATGTGTTGATGGTGGGTTTGTGGAATAGGTGCATGGGGTGGCTGAGAACAGGATGGCAAAAACAACGACCATCGCTCTCGATTGCTTTCATCTCATCAGGAGTCTATCAATATTGATAGACTCCTGATCTCATGTTACCTACTTATCTCAAGTGACATATGCTGTTTTTGGCGCACGCGTAGTAGGCCTATATCCTCCGGTGCTTCCTCTTCCACGAACCCCTGATAAATCTCTGTTCTCTACGTGTGCCTGATGAATCCGTTTACTTGGGCATGTATCGTTCCTGGTCAAATACAGACCGTCGACGGCTTCTCTCCATCGCTCTCGATCAGTTCTGGTCATGCAGCCCTCTCCAGCTTATTCCACCCCGTGTCGGATTTCCTCCCAGGCATATTCTTCCTGAATCAGTTGCTTTGCATGAGATTTTCTAGTTTCTTTTTATCTATCATTTAGAATATAAATATAATTAACAATATATAAATAACTAATATATATGTTATAATAATATAAAATGTTAATTACCATTTAATATCATATTTATATAATATAATGTAATAATATTGTTGTTTTTGCTATGTTGTGTTCTGCATTCTCTTTGGAGTATTCTGTGTTCTTTCGTCGATGTTTCTGTATATTTTGGATTTACTCCAGGGTGCGAAAAGTCATCTACATAGACAGTCATTCTCTTGTCATTTTGAATTTCGAGCATATGCCACTACTATACGTCACTACTGCTACATATGCATCACGAGTACATAATAGGAGACCTTATTATCTACTCTTGATATGCATCAATTATAATTAAGAAGTGAATAAGAGACATGATTTATGCGTCGTAAATATCTGTAAATGTTGGAAATGCGTTTCTTAATGGTAAATTGTTTTGTGTGTTTGTGTGTCATATGATTACGCTGATGTGATAGTACTTTTGGAAAGTCTTCTAACCACACAGAATTAAAGGTCTATGGTTCGGTTCCCACCCTGGTCACTGATACGCCATTTAAATATGAATACCAAAATTGGTTTGGACCGCTGAGCTAAGGTTAAAAGAATGAATTTCGTAAGTGAGTGCAGATTTTCTGGGTGAAACATGTTACTCTATATTTTCCCATACGCTTCACTACAAGTCAGATAAACAGCAACAATAATGACTGCCGTAGGGCAGAAAACCCATTAGTAGAATGCGTTCCTCAACATAATATAGCTAGGAGCATCGTTGTAGTTTTGACTGATTACGCTCAAATGTTGTACATATCATTGTACACACAGCGAAGTGTGACAGTGACTGCCTGTGGTAAATGGTGCATTTATGGAGAGGGGTGGATTGGGTAGCTTCTATGGCCTAACATATGCATCAGCCTTCCGGTATATTCTCCGTAAATGTGACATTGTTGTTACAGAATAAAGCACAAAGGGGAAAGTTGTTAAAGGTAGATGCTATATTACATGTTCCACAGGCAATGACGAATCGGCCCACGGTTGAGTAGGCCTAATGAAATACTCAATTCACTCAGAAGTAATAGATCGTTCACACAAGTGCCAATCTTATATTATCAGGAGTCTATCAATATTGATAGACTCCTGATATTATGTTATAAGAGGCGATCGAGAACATACGTGATGACAATCGCTTTTGTTATTAGACATCGGATATTTTGAAGATAAACATATGTGAGCTATTATGTCACCATACGACTGTGCTTCTCTCTTGCCGAAGTTGTGCTTTCGACATTTTTCCAATTTTTCACATTTCAGACAGCTAGCTAATCACAGCTAGAGCCTAGGTGCACTACTAGCTGTTTACCTCAAAGACTTTCAGCGTCCGATAAATACATGCATGATCTGCGATGATACGATAACTGAAACGATAGTGAAAGATATTATTAATATTCCAATCGTTCTTCTCCCAAATTAATAAATAAAGGCTCTGGGTCTGTTGAATGCTATTGAACAGCAGGTTTGCGCAACTCATAGTCACAGCATATTAAAATATGCATTAAACCTTCTATTTACATATGGTAATAATTAAATACCGTTTTAGCTTCACTGCCAGTGTTTCGCTACCATTAAAGTTTGTAAATACCACTTACACACGCGACAATAACACGCCGTCCACCTGAGATATTTAAAAATGATAAAGGAGCTCGAAAAAACGCTTGTTCTACAGTAAACAACTGCCTGCTTATGCAATTTATATATATATATATTATTTTATATATTATATATTATATATACTATAATTATATATAATATATATATATTATATATTATTTATTTTTTATATAATTACATATAATTATACTGTGCCAGACTTTAAGTTGGTAGCTAGCTGTTTGGTATGACCTGGCTACGAAACGACGTTCCTACGTACGAGTTTCCGAAACATTGAGCATTCTCAGATCGTAGTAGGATATATTAGACGTTTACTTATTTCATACAATGTTCGCAGAAATCGCGCCTACGAAGCGCGCCTGTCCGTACACAAGGAAGAAAAACATTAGCTAACGCTATAGCAAATCGGGACATAATATACCGGCTATAGTGACTGATAAACTGCGGTACACGCGAACATCATTCCCTGCATGATGCTTGTATATTGTCATGCGGATGATCTACCGGATTCGGCCCATGAGGCAGCGCGCTCAATGACCATAGCTTGAGTCGATATGTCAACGCGATGCTTGATTTAACTCGAAATATCGCTATGGAATAGGTTCGCAAAAACACGTAATTCATTCGCGCATTTTGCAAATTGTTCAGATTTATGTCGGAGACAGTTTGCTAAGGATTTACGAGCAAAATGGAATGCAGGCGTGCGTGCGTGCCTGCATGCCTGCGAACGAGCACGTATGCAAGTCTATGTACCTATTTGTTTGTGTGCGCGCGCGTGTGTGCGTGCGTACATAGGCGTGCGCGCAAGCCATAGCATAGGTGTGCAAGCATATGTATTTTATGTGTGTGTGTGCGCGCGCGTGTGCGCGTGCGCATAGGGGCGTGCATGCGGGCGAGTGGTCGGGCGGTCGCGCGTGCGTGCGTGCGTGCGTGCGTGCGCACGCTGTGTGTGTAGTGTGTGCATGGTGTAATGGTGTGTTCGCGCCGCGTATTCGTTCGTTTGTTGGTGTGTGCGCAGGCGCGAGTGTCGGTGATCGTGCGTTCGTGTACGCGTATACGCGCGTGCGAGTGTGCGTGTGTGTGCGTGTAGGGGGGGGGGGCATTTCTCTCGCAAGTGCTCCCTCTACAAGCTACTTAACTTGAGGATCTTCGCTGATTGGATGCGTTTAACGTGTGAATCGCTGAACAGTCTGCGTATACATCGATATATATAAATATGCCACTGCACAGAGTACGCGCTCACACACCGTGCACGCTCGTAGGTATACCATGGATCGCTTCTATCGTCTGATCTTCCTCGTGGCTACAATTTTCACGGTAAGTTTAAATATTAGTTACCGGTTTCTGGTTTTTCTGTGGTTGAATCGAGTAAAAAGAACCATGGAAGCGATACGCATAGAATGACCATTTTCTTGTATTTTTTACCGTATATCGTATAATTTATTGTGGCCACGACAGATATTTATGGAGTCACAAGGTAATTACGATATAAGAGCAATACTGCAACTGCTGTTTTCTAGTGTACCTTTCATGTTTTCGTTGAGACTATACATACGCTCCTAATTAAGCAAATTAGAGAGTAAACATTTATTTTTATGCGATGATATGAGCGATGTCATATTTTCAGCAAATTCAAAAGATAAGCTTGCTTGTAATTAAGGAAAATGATAGGATGAGACAATGAATTGCAGAGAAGATGAAAACTTAAGGGACACGCGTTTATACTTTTTACTTATCACTTGATATTTATATTTATACGCGAGTGTTGTCATCAGCTGAACCATTAGTTATATCGTCTGTAGTATTTCGGAAATTATCAATGTATAAACCATTGTTATATAATCGTTTATTGCGTGGTAAATATTATACATCTAATTGTCTGTGACAGAATCAATTTACGTTGGAAACTCAGTGTCGTTCGATGCTGGTTACCTGACCGTTATTCATAATAAATTCGCAGTCGTACAAATACATATAGCCGCTCTCACAGTCTCAATTACTTGTTTATCCTTGCCATTTGCTTACCTACGATTTGTACGCTTATTACAGTTCATTTTTATTACTGTATTTATTGATGTACTGGTATCAGTTTAGGTAGCTAGATCAAGGGTATACGCATTACGTACTATCTTATTTAGTGCATGGGAGGTTATGATATACTCAGATTTTCGTTTGATTTTTAGTTGCTCGAAAGAGGTTTGTGTAGATCGGTTCAGTCGGTCATTGACAGCGACGTTATTGCGCATCCACTAGATGAACCCAAGGAATATGACGCACAGATTCCCATGCGAATATCGTTAAATGATATCGCTCTGTCAACCGACGACATCGCGAACGTAGAAGAATCTTCGCAGCCAATCGACGGTATGCCCGCGTGTATGTTATGGCTGCAATTACTGTCCTGACTATTGTAGACGATCAAACTAAAAGTGTTTAATATATGTGAAATCCTCGTAGAAATCATATCCTATACCATTTTTGCGAGAGCTCTTTTAATATCTTTACGCACAATAATGCTTAAAGCACTACCAGCATGTGATGACATAATAACACCTCATTATTTAACATGTGAATCAGGCTATACAGGCATCACATTCTCATTAGGTACATATACGCCTCCTGATATACGCACATCCTTCTCTTTTTTTCTGCGTCATTTTTACTGTATCTGCCACTTGCACTAAAAATTCGTGATATGTGCAGCTCATTTTTCAAATATTATTCAGATTGTTAATTTCTCAATATATGCAGCCACATATTAGCAGCTTCAAATGATATTCACGCGTCAAGCTTAATGAATATGTCAACTGAATAAAAAATAGTGCTAACTGATATAACTGAAATGATAACACTGTTAACGTTATCTGGCAAAGACATGAATTATATCTAAAATATGAGAAATATCTGAAAAATGTGTCGCAACATCGTATGCGGAGAATCCGTGTACAATCACCAAGGTTACCGAATTCTGCAGGTTGCAAATATGTGTTTCGATTACAGCGTACGCACTTTTTTCTTCTTTATGCTTCAGCAGAGGACGTGGTGACTAAGCGGGCCCGTTCGGGGTTTGATCGCCGGAACAGGAAGCTATGGTACGATAAATGCTGGCGTACTGATCGCAAGACGTGCTACCGCGGCAGCAACGGTCAGCGACGGTGCGAGTTCATCTGGACGTGTGCGTGAATGAAGCAATCAGAGACGCCCAGCTGTGCCACCTCGTCGATTCTTATAGTTATGGTTATTCCTACCATAAAACGCGTGCCCAAGGAAGCTGAGAGAGAGAGAGAGAGAGAGAGAGAGAGAGAGAGAGAGAGTGAGGGATAGACGGAGCGTGCGTTTCGTGATTATATGTTATTCACGCAAAGCGACACGTGCACATGCCAACTCACTAAAATCTACGCACAAACACAATCATGCACCCAAACCCATATATACGCTCGTCCTCCACAAACGCGCACGCACGCACGCACGCACGCACGCACGGACAGACGCACTCACGCCCACTAACGCATGCACGAATACCCTAATTACGTACAGATGCAACCGCACGCGAACAACAAAAGTACACACCGTCGCACTGAAAAATGCTACGCACTCAAATGTGCACGCACTCACGCGCGCACATGCAGCCCTAGGGTGCCAACACACGGACGTCATCGACAACGACGCTTTCCCCTGCAGCTACAAGCATCGTCCTTATCACGAACGAGACTCATGATACCTGCTTGCTGATATCAGGAGCTAATAACGACAAATTTGTCATTATTAGCTCCTGCTGATATTAACATGCCCAGCTGCAATTAATGTGTGTGCATGCATGTTGAGGTGCCGGGTTGTCCATTGACAGCTTAATTTGTATGACCAGATGACCTTTATAGTTGTGAATAGTTTTTAACCCCCAGCACAGCATTTACGCAGAAGAGCAGGAACATTTAGCAATCTCTCGTCGCCCACAGCGGAAGCAACGACATGGACGATGTCGTCCATTTATTTATAGAGTAGAGTACAGGATCTATATATTCCTGCATCCCACGTTATAAAGTAGAGCCGATAATAACGATCGATCTATCGTAGACATCCAGTGCTTTGTGTTACGTTCTGAACGAAATCACCCTTATGAAAATCATCAACGACAATAGATCTGTGTACGGCATATAAACGTGTAAAAGAGAGATGGATACATAAATAGACATTCTTGTGTACGAGTGGAATCGTATGAAATATGACCGCATAATAAACCAGTATAAAATGTATACCAATTAGGCTGTTGTAACACGCTTATATTTTATTTGTTTATAAGAACCATACATACTAGTAGTATACACATACACGCATGCACGCAAGCACGCACGCACGTACATGCCTACGTACGCACGCACATACACAGACGCACACGCACACATACTCACAGGCAATTGAGCCGTCTCAATTACAAAATAATAGTAAATAAACACCAATTATATTTACTACCAATGCATGTGTGTATGTATATATATATATATATATATATATATATGTGTGTGTGTGT